AGAAAATAACAATTATTTATGTAATTTTTTTTTAATTTACATAAAATTATAAATCAAACATATTAAATAGGTTAAATATCTTTAGATTTAAATGAATCGCTTGGCATCCAGTAGAAATAGGTTTTTAGAAAAATACTTTTTTGACAGTTTAGCAGACTGTTCATCGATGAAATCGAGAGATTAATTAAATTATATAAATTCGACGGGATGAATTTAGTCTTTACTCTTCTATATTAGGGGTTCTTGCGAGGAATGTGGTAGCAAAACGGCGAAAAGTCATTTAAAGGTCTGCCACTGCATTGTCTCTTCAATCTATATCACCAAAATTAATATTGTGGAATAGCAGACAAAGAACACCATAACTGATGACAAATTTGGAAAGGTTGATTTGAGATAAAAAAGAGAATGGTTTATAGTTCAACATAGTTCTATGAACAATATCTTTTTTTGGGTATAAACAATCTTTAAGATTTTTATAAACAAGTTCTTTACTCAGAATTGTGTGGAGTCTGTATGAGATCATTCTTTTATGAGTATACGAATTAATAGATTAGATTGCTTACATTTGCTGAGTAATCTTAGTTTTGAAAGTCGTAGAAGAAATGATTTAACTAGTTAGAACGTAAAAAAATATAATTAATGGTAAACAAATTATTACAACTTCAGCTAAAATAAAATGAAGAAATATAGTATCATATATGTACTCGTAAATAAGTAAAATTATTCATTAAATAAATATTACGATTATATGTATTTTTGGTTGGATTTCTTATTATAATTTTGCTTCAAATGAATGAATCATCAAAATTTTGTAAACTAAATCTTTGTTTATACTTTGAAATGATGTGACTAAATAAATACCAAATGTATCTTATTGCATAAACAAAAGTAGCGGATGTCAGTTCCTACTCAATAATTTATTTCGCAATTTTTAATGATTAAAACTTGATATTTTTTAAGAGCAGAAAAACGTGCAAAAATCAAAAAGTGAATAAACTCTTATTTTCAATGTTATTTCAAACAGTTATTCTATCGATTTTTATCCATTTTATTATTATTATTATTATTCTTATTAAGTAATATGTAGGCTTTGTAATCGAATATAATAAATTGCACAAAGTAAAATAAATATATTTTAAAAAATATTATTTGTAAAATAAAATATAAATATCACAATGTTATCTTTGAAATGCATTTATCACATTACCTGAATCTTGAGAATTTATTAAAAATAACAAATTATAAACTAATAAATACCGTAATAAAATATAATAATGCTATAGCTTTAGAAATGATTTGAATATGATATATGCACATGTGTGGTTTTAACAGTATCGAGACCATCAGTTAGGAACCGAACTATGCCCAGCTCTAACCAAAGACTGAAGGAATTTTTAAGTAATCTTGTCCTTAACTCTCTTATACTTGAAATCACTGTATTTTATTAGGGTTCCATAATTAGCAGATTATTAAAGTCCGATTTTAAGAACTAAATGAAAGAATTTTTAAGTAATATTATCCTTAAGTAATATATAATCCTCTTTTAGAGTTCCATAATAAGCAGACTATTAAACTTCGGTGTTAAGAACTAAGTGCTTAAAAATTCGTTTTAAGTAATCTTGTCCTTAACTCTCTTAAAACTTAAAACCTACTGCATTTTATTAGGGTTCCATAATTAGCAAACTATTAAAGTTTGCTGTTAAGTAGTGGTGACTCAATGGAAATGAGTATAGGTGAATTGGTCAACTTGACTAACTGACACAGCAACTTAGGCTAGTCTAAACCCGAATCCAAGATCTCCAATTACCTTGCTTTACACAAATATAAGGTTATTTAACATCAATATTTAAGTCTGTGTTCTGTATCGCAGAGAGAGCTGTAATGTAACCTCCAGCAATCTCCAGTTTTTGCAAAAGTATTGCTTACCGCAGTCTTAACTGTATCTGTCCAAACACAATAACAAACTCTGAATTATAGTTCAAAATCAGGCAACCACCACAAATTTTAGAGGATATAATAATCTATAATTGTAAATGGCGTGACCATATTCAATGTATACTTTCAAAACACCTTCACTAAAAATACCTCTATAAACGTTTAAGTCGAGATTGATTTATTATAATAGAGTGAAAATTTCTGCATATAACTATTTCCCGATGGTTACATAAAATGTTATTTATTACAATAAATGCTTCTGTTTAAAGGTATTATTAAAAATACTACGGTGACAAACAGATGGACGACATACTGGCAGATAGACGTATGCCATGCAACCCATTTACTTTGGTTTACAAGTCAAGAATATGATATATATGGTCTGTCTACTTCCTGTACTGACTGACAAATATCTTTAAAAACCTAACATTCTTTATTCCCAATATGATGAATGGCATTAAAAATAAACTATTAAGAGTAAGAATATTGCAACTTTGGCTTACCATACAAATACCTAATATCAAATGTTGACAAATAGCCATTATAGGTTGCTTTGAAAATATTCACTGAATTCATTTCACATATAAGTTTTCAAATTACTAGTATGAAGAAGGGTTGAACTTTTGTTTTCTCAAATTTGATGTGCAGAGTCACATTTAAAATACTTGACCTTACACCGTATATAACTTATATAGCACAAACTTACAGTTTTGTCAAGTAATTATTGTTTTAACAAGAAACTTACTTAACAAACGCATAAACCACAGCTATAGAAAATATAATTAACTATAAAAGTCTTTGTGGTTGAATTCCTTAAAATTCCAGTATTCGAGTACTATTCTTCACGTAAGCTCATTTTTTGTGAACTGATTACAAAGAATTATATTTATATCTTAGTTCCGCGATCACCTTTAAACATATTGGAAATCAGAACAACATCTTTGTAATTAAAAATTAGTTTTTTCGTTCATGTCAAGAAATTTATTTCTAATCTAATGTAATCAAGTAAACTTTTCTGCTCTTCATAACTGTTTTGAATATCTCCTAATATTCTTCATCAATCACCATTTTAGTTCATTTTTTCCTATAGTAATTTTAAGTAATTCTAATTTTATTTATTCAAGGTCGAATATATTCTTTTCATATATAACTTTAAATAAATTTATCTGAGATATTTATAAGATATTGGGAGGGGTTTTGAAGTGTAAGGCTTGAACGAGGTCTGCGGGAAAACTACTGGTTGTGGAGATATCGGAAGAAATTGCTAATGGGGACTTTCTTCATATCTGGCTTCAATAAAAGCTTTGAGAATTATTCAAATTCAAATTTTTTTAAATTAGTTACAAACAAATTTAGCATTTTTTATCATATTTTTCATATTTATTTATTTTAGGTAAAAAAATTAAGAATTTTTTATTATATTTTTCATTGTATAAGTTAATTAAAAAATCCGTAGTATTATTTTTGTTTAGGTAAGTTGGCTATTAAAATTTAAAATATTTGTTTTTTAATTTATTTTTATAAAGTTGCATTATTAATTAAAAATACCATAGAAATATTTTTGTTTAGATTAGTTGGTAACTAAAGGTTTAAAAACTTTTTATTTTATTTATTTTTAAAAAGTTATCGTAGTATTAATTAAAAATACCATAGAAACATTTTTGTTTAGGTTAGTTGGTAACTAAAGGTTTAAAAACTCTTTATTTTATTTATTTTTAAAAAGTTATTATGAAATAAAAATATTGTATAAATATTTTTGTCTAGGTTAGTTGGTTACTAAAACGTTATGAAATCTATATTTTATTTATTTTTAAAAGTTTATCGCGTATTAAATGAAAATTTCACAGAAATATTTTTGTAGAGGTTACTTGGTTACTAAAGGGTTAAAAAATCTTAAAAAAAATAATAATTACTAAATATAAAACGAAGTCCAATAAACTTTAAAAACGTTATTAGATAACAACAGCAACAAAATGAAAGTATATTAAATATTTTTTTATAGATACTTAAAAAGTAATTAATATTTTAATAACTTATTTTCTATTACTTTATTAATTAATTAATTTTTTTTCTTATTATTATTATTTAATATATCTTCTTATTAAGCAAACTGATGAAGGAATGGCAACATAAACAGGATTCATAAGATTTATTTAGCCAATTTGTCGATTAAAACGTCAATATAAGCACAAACAGCTTCAGAGATTGACGAGTGCTGGCTTAGAATGACAAGTGTATTTATTTGCCTTTATTTTGTTTTTGCTTACATTGTAAATTGTTCATTCCATTTTACTGTTTACTGCTGCTTACTACTTTCGTTTCATTTTGTTTCTTCCAGCTTCTTCCACTGCTTCTGCTTCTTCTACCTTTGCTTTGCTTCAACTTTTTCTGCTTACAACTTGTGGCAACTTTTTTGTGTAAGATAATTCCAAATCAACGGACGCCTGCCTTGCCAGCCTTACCAGCCTTACCAGCCACAATGAGAGCATAAAAAAAAGAGTCAAAACGCGAAGTTAACGTTAACACAGCGGACAGACAATTTTACAATATAACAAGATTACAACAAAAATGCGCATGTATGGATGCGAAATGGAATTGAGATAACTGAACTGAACCTGAACTATTAGAAGGGCGGACGCTGTAGGAGCACAGCAACGGTACCTAAGTATCATCGACTGACTACAGTGTAAAAGCAAAAGTATGGAAAAAGCACAACAACAGCACAACGTGCTGATTTAAAGTTCAACAAAGGCATACACTAATGGAACAAGATTAAACTTTTTCTTCAATAACATAACACTAACAACACTAATAATATTGAACACTAACAAAACAAACAAACAAACAAACTAGTACGAAAAAATAAAAGCTAAAGCACAGTTTTTTTTTTTTTACTTTTTTAAATTCTTACTTTTCTTATTATTTTTGTTTTATTTTATTTTATTTCATTTTATTTTATTATGTCAAATGTGCATAATGCATTGGGAACATGTTCGTTGGTTGGTTAGTTGGTTGGTATGTAGCGGTGCTGACATTTTTTTTCTTTTATGTATGTTAATACTTACATTAGATTTGAATCGCTGGGAATATTGAAGTGTTGCTGTTGGTGTAGTTATTGTGTGGTAGTGGTTTTTTTTGTTTTTTTGTACTATTTAGTAGCTGTTATGCTGGAGTAACCAAGCGAAGGTTGCTTCTGTTTTTACTTATTGTTGTAGCCGTGGTTGGTAATTAATTGTTGTACTTTTGTATGGAACTAATTTTTTTGGAAATTTTCCTAAATGCTTTTACTTAATTCTTTAACTACTAATTTTTAACTACTTTATTAGCAAAACATTTAATGGAACTTCTTTAATTGAATATTTTTCACTAAAAAAAAATTTTTAACACTTTTGGCTTTACAGCTGTATAAGTGGTGGGCGTTAAACGATTTTAAACAGTTACTTGTGTAGTTGTTAGACCGTAGGTTTACAGTTGTTTTCGAGATGCTGCACACAATAATTTTTTTTATTTATCTAATTTAATTTTTTTTTATTTTTTTATTTAAATTTTTTTTTTTTGCAGAGTAACACGTTTGGCAAATAAGTAGATTTTAGTTTTTATCAAAATAAATTTGTTGGTTTTTTAATGCACATGTTACGTGAACAATTTCTGTGTGGTAAATAAAAACTAAACTAAATTCGGTCAATGAAATTGAAACTGTATTGAAATCCAATATAGCACAAGTGCACTAACTTTTCAAAAGAAAAGTTAAAACAACAACAAATCAGCACTAACAACAAAAAGAAAATAAGAAGTATCACTTTACGCTTTTCTATGCTTTTCGTTTATTTTTTTTTTTTTACTTTATTTTATTTTTTATATTCAATTTTTTTTATTGTTTGACTGAGTGTAACGTTGTTTTTTTCTGTTGTTGTTGTTGTTGTTGTTGTTGTTGCGTTTTTCTTTTGGTTTACAAACCTTTTTTTGTCGTTTTGTGTATACAAAAATTAATTCTTCTTTGTATGTATATATGTAGAAGAATTTGTTTTATTATATTTACATATACATACATATATTATGCAAAAATATTAATTTTAAAACTTCGTCTTTATTAAATAAAAAAAAAACAATGATTTAAATTTATGCGCTACTGTATATTTTGTTTTTATAAATAAATTTTCAGCTTCAATAATTTTATTCTTTATTATTTTTTATTCTTTTTATTCTTTAGCACCATACGCGCATAAATAACTTAACGGAAAACGTACTGCGCTAAACAAACTGACTTCATAAGCGTGGAATAGCAACTGAAATTTGCTATCGAACGTAACCAAGTTTTGCGCTCTTCGCTTTTATGTTTTCCCGTACCCCCGCAATAAATTTTTCATAGAATGTGGTTTACGTTTTTTTCATGTTATCAATTTGTAAAGCTCTAATTGAAAGCTTTATAGCTCTGTTTGCCATATTGTGCTTACATCCGGTTAAATGAAATGTGTAAAACAGTTTGATACGCGTTGTTTACACATAATATTTGAAAGGCACTGTATTTGTGTTTTAATGCGAGAAGACACATGAAAAATGTTGCCAACTTTCGAAATTTTAAAATTTTTTTTAAAATAATAAAATAAATAGCATTTAGAGTTTACTTTGAAAATAATATTATAATTATAATTAATAATTAATAATAATTAATTAAATTTTTTTATGAATTAAATGATGAATACATATTAAATAGATTTTTTGTTATCAATAGAGGCTTTTTATTGAAGAAATAGTAGTAAATTTGAAACAACAAAAATTTTTTTTATCATTTTTAATTAACTGAATTTTTGGCTGACCACACATTTGTTTCGAATATTGCCAAATACTTATACATTAAATAATAAAAATATTATATAATAAATTATAAATTACTTTATAAATAATAATAAAAATTATAATTATAAATAAACCCCAATTATTTATCAAAAAAAAACAAAATAAAAATTGGAAATTAATTTTTTATTTAAATGTTAGGTTTAGTTAAAAAAAATTAAATAATTATTAATAATATAACAAGAAGTTTGTATAATAAAAGTATTAATACATACAGAGTTCAACCATTTATTATACAAGAAAAAACCTAATGCAAATAGGGTAACACAATAATTACCGTTTAAGGTTCGCTTAAAAAAAATTAAATTATTATAATACAAAAAGTAAAAATAAAAGTACATTATGCATACATCGCCGGCTATATAAGATGGACCTGCTTAATTAACAAACAGCATGAAAAGAAACTTATTTGTTGCTATTCAAACTAAATATCATTTAACTAGTGGTATCGTTAGACATTATCACCTTCCTTGTCAAAAATACAGTGTAGCCAGATGCGTTCACCTACTATAACCAACTCTATAAATTAAAAATTAAAAAAGTAATATTCTATACAAAAGTTCATATATTAATAATATTGACATCTTCAAATATTAACAATTTATAAGCGTAGTATTTTCACAAAGAATAATCACCTATTTCCCTCAACTGCCTATTAATTATGTAAGCAAACTACTCTTCAAGTAGTTTTCGTCACACCCCACTTTTTCCTTCCTTGTGGTTTTCATTTCGGAGTTTTGTACATACGCGCGAGGGGTGTGGGTGCCAACCAACCGTGTTTTCCTGATATTTTACAACTACTGTAAACCGTTACAGTAGTTGTTTCTTGGCGGTTTACAGTAGTTTGGTGAACCATGCTAGAATATAGAAGGGCTCACTTTTTTAAGTATATTAGCCAACTCCAGGACCCTTTCAGGATTTGCCAAAAGTTTAAAGTATTTTTCAAACCTTTCAGTTCTTATAACAATGAGGCAACAGGTCTAAGTCAATCCTTTTATTAGCCGGTATAACGTAACGTTTACAAACCTACTGATTGACTATGGATCCATAACAATAAAAGTGACTTCATCCATATTTACTACACTTTTAGAGCTTTCAAAATTTTTGATATTTTTCCGGCTGTCGCTAGTGGATAATTTTTACTAATTAACCAATCACTTATTATAAGATCATTATCTTTAATCAACATATTACATTAAAAAAATATTTGTGATTAGTCTAGTTGTAGTTTAAACAAGTATTTCTCAATATTATACTATAGTTATAATATGGGTTTCAGTTTAAATTTGTTATCACTACTGTCTTCCCTCAGCAAAGCTGTGATTTTCTGTTATAAAAGCATATCTAACTCTTATATTCTTTCTGATTTATATAATTTTTAAGGTCTCTATAATTTGTAATATTTAATATTGTTATTCTAATCCGGATGGTTTTCTCGTTTCTCTATATACGTCTATTTTGTCTATTTCGATATATCAAAAATCTACAGCGCCATCGATGTTCTAGTTTGTAGAGCAAAAGATCTTCTATGGCCAGAGTGTGGTACACTTTTGGGATCATAGCACATTATTATCTCCTATTCGATTTAGTTCAATAGAATAGAAATTATTGATTATTTGTATAATTAATAAAAAAAATAGACATAATGTGGACTTAATATAATAGAAAACAATATAGAAAAGATATTTTATACTGTAACAAATTTTAACTGGACTTTCGCCTTTTGGAATATGATTAATCAGTAAATGTTTGTCTTTCTTTCAAAATTTCTAATTGCAGACGAAGTGAAACTTTCCAACTCAATATCCTTCACTTGTACCAGAATGAGGGCAGACAATGGCAAACTCAATATCCTTCACATGTACCAGAACAAGGGCGAACAATGGCAAAGAATAAAACCAAAAGCCATGTTTCAGTTAGAGATAATATTTTTTTACATCATATATAGTCTATATATATATATATATATATAGTTATATACAATAGTTATATTAGGTCTTTTAATCTGACAATTATATTTGAAGCAGAGTTATTTGCTAACAAAATTGCTCATACAATGGTTATACTACCTCTTATGGTCTTACTAGCCTTAAAGTCTGACGAAATACTGAACAACACCCTTACACTCCTTAATGTATAAAGAATAAAGTAATCATGTCAATTACCTTTAAAGAAATGAAAGAGATGATGGCAACGACAGGGTTAACTGACTTGCATAACGGGTGCCTGACCACAATAAGTAAAACTTAAAGTAT